GCCAGAAAAGTTAGGCTCAGTCAAGTTGTGTACTAGACCATGTAATATTTGAAAATATGTCAGAATTGGTACATTCATGTCATAAAATGCTTAGAAAAAAGGATCCAGAAAGTGTCTCTGAGATGGTACCCTGTGTTGGTGATACAAGATTGATTGACTTAGAAATTATTTGTAGATCTCTGCAAGAGATAATAACAACTTAGACGGGTTTTTTGGGTGGTAGCAAATACTGTGTTTGCTTCTGTACCGTTAGGACAGTAGCTGAACAACTTTTTCCATAATGGTCTAGACAATAAATGTTTTAGGCTTGTGACCCATATAGCATTTATCTTAACTACTCAACTATGCCATTGCAGCAGCAAAGGGATCATGTGTGATAGGTAAACAAATGGGTGTGGTTGTGCTCCAATAAAACTTAATAGGTGGGCTAGTTTGGTACCTGGGTTGTAATGCCTGCTACACACTGCTCTCTGGTGTGAAGGCTGAAAAGTAGCATCTACTCTGCTCTAGTAGGATGAAAATAAAGTAAAAAGGAGAAGGTAAAACAATAAGGATCATTGGTAGTGAAAGAATGCACAAAGAAGGGAATAGGACAAAGGAAGGCAGAAACATGGAGGCAAATATATGGTGTACACAGGATGATTGTAGGAAATAATGTAGAGGTCTCTATTTGTATTGGAATATTTCTGGTGAAAGGTTATTGTGAAGCCCCTGAAGCCATACTAGATTGAAGTAAATAAAATTTTAGACAAATTAATAAGAGTATGATGTAAAGCCCTGTTATCAGTTGTTTTTCCCAGGCATTCAAGATTCAGGCAAAGTATGTATCTTCTTACACGTGTTCTTAAGTCTATTTTAGTTTTTACATACAATCTTTACTTCTTCAGTCTTGCCATCTGTTGTTTGATGTTTTAAAAAATTAGAACATTGAGTCCAGGGAGATTTATAGCTGTGCATGATAAAAGATGGAGGTTCATATTTTAAGAGCTGAGCAATTTTTCCAGAAATGACTAACTTCATAGTTGTTATATATAGCAAAAATCACTTTTTTTTTGGTATTATGGTACAAGTACAGAAAATTAGAAAATAGATTGATGACTTGTTAGTAAAGGTTAATCAGAGGAATAGGAATAGATTCATAAGTATGTATCTTATGGGTCTTGTGGAACTGAATTATTATAATACAGTATATTTTAAAAGATATATCTCTTGAAATACCTATTTTCCATGACAATATTTTTATTTTTGAGTAAATTTCATTTATTTTTCTCTCTATATCTCTCTTCTTTCCTATGACCTGTTAGAAATATCTTTTAAAAGGAAGTACCAAGAAAGGATGAAACTAAACTGCTCTTTCTAAAAATAAAAAACTCAGAGCTATTGTTCTTTATGCTTTTTAAAATATTAAGAAATTGTACAGTTTTATTAGGTTGTTGTAAGAATGTGTAAAAATTGATAGTTGAGATTTATATGTGAAAGTCTATGGAAAAATTCATTATATTTAAAAATGAATTATTAGACATTTTGAAGTAGAAAATATTGTATATATGTTTTTAACCACTGACATGTATAAATAAATAGGAGTGAAAGGATATAGAATCTTGTTTTTAAGATGAATAGTGATGTGTTGTAAGCAGAATTAAAGGCTGGGCTTTTCAGATTATGATTTTTATTTATGGTCAGGTGACTTATAGTTGTTTCTTTTTATCAAATTCATATTAGAATATGAACTTTAAAAGGTGAACTTACTTTTCCTTTTAGGAAATATAATTTTACTCTTCTAATATTATTCCAAAAATTTTAGCAATAAGGAGTTTGCTTTATATTCTCATTCTTGAAAAGAATATATATATAATTTTTTTTTTGGTCTAGTGGGCAGTGTTTCCTAAAGAGATTCCACATTCCTTTTTTCAAAAAATATCTTAGTTGCTCAGTTAGGAGCCTTCCTGTTCTATCTTTTCATAAACAAACTTAATGCAACAAGATGAGAGTTCTTTCTTCCTTGTCTGTGTTGATTTGTTCCCTGGTTGTCCTTGTTCACACCCTGAAATTCAGACTTGCCTTTTGCATTCTTTCTGAACAGCTGTTTCCTTTTCACCCTTATCTTTTTCTCTTCCTTATCCTCTTTCCTGCCTGCTCCATTATATTTTTGCTTGTCCTAGTGTCAGTTATTTGTATTCTCTCAACATTATGCTTTCATTCTCTTTTTTTTCCATCAAATTAAAAGAAGTTCTAGACAATTCCTTTTCAAGACTTTTTAAAAAAACGTTTTCTAGAAATATTTGTAGAACATTTTAGATGCCTTTTCTCAAGATTTGTTTCATTTAAAAATGGAGAAAAACTGTTACAGTTTTTGTAGAAATATTTGTGATACTTCATCTGTTATTTATCTTAGGTCACTGTCTCTTGAAGGCACTGCCAACTTTCAACAGAAAATTTATAGCTAAACAAAAGTATTAACACATGCATATTAAGCCATGCATGATGGCACATGCCTATAGTCCCAGCTACTCCTGGTCCTGGTTACTTAAGAGGTTGCTGCAGAGGGATCATGAGACCAGGAGTTCAATGTTAGCCTGAGGAACACGGTGAAACCCCACTTCCAAACAACCAGAAAAACCTTAAATACATGCATATTATTCAAATAGCTTTCTTAATTACAATGTCCATCATTAGGTATATCAAAAAACAGCTGCATTTGAAGGTTTTAATAAATTTAATACAAAGAATTATTTGGCAAATTAAATGATGTCATAGTAAAAATATTAAAATGACAATAATCATAATTTTAAGTGCCAAATGCACTTAAGTGTGTAAAGTGCTTAATATTGCTCGGAGGTTATTTAGAGAATATAAAATGTGGCTTACTGTTTACTGTATGTCAAGCTTTATGGGTAAAGTATGACGCCTGATTTTAATCATGTTAAAGGACATCCAGTGCTTGAACTGTGTAGTGGGTTATACCTACGTTGCTTTTGGTGCCCCCCCCCCCCCCCCCCGCATTAGCAATCTGCTTTTGTACTTTGACATCCAGGATTTCCCTAGTGAATTTTGTCACAGAAAAAAGAGAATCATCAATATCGCAGTTAAACTTGACTTTCAAAGCTAATAGTATCTCATTTGGGGGCTCAAATTTAATAAATTTTCTTTGATTCTGGGTGAGTTTTTAAACATCAAACAATGAATTGGCCAGGGTGCAGTAAAATATTTAGATCTATTGACTATGGTTCAGAAGGGTAGAAGGCAAAACACTAGTGGTTTGATGTTGATAAATTCTCAGTACCTTAATCCACATTAATGTTTTCTTTTATCTGAGTGCACATTGGTGACAAAAAAGCAAGAGAGAAAGTATCCATACATATAAAATATGAAATCTAAAGCACATATATTATATTGTACAATATGATTTGCTTTGTTATGCTAAGTAAGTTTAGTAGCATTCTCATCCTAATTGAAGACTCTGGAAAATGTTACAGATAAATATATAGTCTGAATTGGAACTCTAGTGTGCATATAGTACTCACTCTATTATAAAATTTTCATTGTAATATATTTTGCAGTATACACTTTCACATTCATGTATTGACAGGAAGACTTGAGATCAGCTTGGGAAATATAAAGATTCTTATACCCATAGATAGCATGAACAATTAAAAATCTCATAATGTTTGTGTTTGCTGGTTTAGGGAAATGCTTTGGAGTATGATAATTTTGTGAGATATTTATATAATGTAATTCATATATTAAAAAACAATTCAAGCAGTTTTATAAGCTGCTCAAGTAGAGTAGGAAAATGGATTTTTTTTAAAAAAACCTTACATTATTGCCAAGTTACATTTGAAGCTGCTCAGATAAAACTAGAGATATAAATACATTTATTTGGGTAGTTAATGTTATTTTTTAATTATCTCCATTCTTGATCTTTGCTATCTCATAAAGAACTGTTTTCTCATGTGTCTGTAAGCCAATTGTATAATATTTATCAAATATATGGTAGCAAAGAACGAAATTTTTAAAAACAAATTCAAGCATTAGAAGTTAGAAAACATGCTTGTATATGAAAAGTAGTGTAATTAAACTGTATGTTTAAAAATTAAAGCTTACTTCTCCTAATTGCAACCTAGACAGTGGATTTCTTAATAAGGCTTTCCCTAAATTTGGAAATTAAAATCCAAAATACCTGTTTCTGAGCATTTCCCTCCAACTCAGGAGCATTTCCTAATTTGTCCAGTAGGTGGCAGTGTGATATCAACTGCCTATTATTTCATTCTGGCTGGAGAATTGGTGTTTCTCCTGTGTCTGTGAAGTGCTTGTATTGTTACCTTTCTGAATACTTAAATTATAGTACAAATACTACTGATTTTATCTAATTTACCTTTCAAGGAAGTTGTGCAACCAAGTTGATTTACATGTATTTCATTGTTAAAACTCACATTTAATAAAATCTTAGAATTTTAGAAGAGTAAAAAGGGTAAACAAACCTCTTATTTGTATATTTTTAAGTATCCTTTTGTGTTGAGTATATTTGTTTTTATTCCAAGGTACATACTAGTGAAGTTTTTCTTTTTCAAAGAAACCTAATAACTGTTGGTTTAATATATTAGTTAATATCAATTAAACATATTATTAAGAAAGTGATAATAATTAGGAGATTGTTGTTTGCTTTTGATTTTTTGAATGTGTTTTTTTTCTTTCCTTTTTATTTTCAGGGTGGAACTGTGAAAAAATAATTGAAAACCTCTTGATCAGAAGAGCTCCAGTGACTCTTCTTCCCCTTCTTCATTTTGAGCAGGAGGATGCTTTTTCTTCTTAACATTCTCCCCCAGCACTCTGAATTAGAGATTTATTTGCAACGAAAAATCAATTAGTCCTAAATTTATTCATGGATTTCAGGTCCAGCGATCAATGCAAGTCCACTCAGTGGGCTCAAGGGGACCCAGTTCATCCCAGTTAATGTGTCTGAAGGGGAATTACCATTGATGCTGTTTTTTTCCCTTTAGGTCAGAGATCAGATCTCGCTGTCACGGACTGCAGCAAGTAGGAATGACTTCACCCTGCAGCTACCCAAACTGCACCTGGAGACCTTTGCAATGGAGGGGCTCAAGGGCGGGCCAGAGGTTGTAGCATGCCAGGTTAGAGTCTAAATAACATTGTTTGCTACTGAGACATATAGAAAAATAAATTGCACTAACTAGAGAGAATGAAAGCCTAGAAGTATTGTGAATAATTTAAAGGAGATGCAAATAAATTTTTCTTCTATTATGTAGCAGTATAGTTCACACATAGAATTTTTTTTTTAAAAGCCTAGAACTAGACTATTAAAAGAATCCAGAAAAGTATTTTTACAAAGGAAAAAATGTGTATTTTACATCAAAGTGCAGTGTTAAAAGAACATACTTTCCTATCAGTGGTGGACAATAAGACACTAAACAGTTATCTCTTTAAGCTAGTCTCTATTTGTTGCTCTTGCTGTTTTAAATCACTTTAGATTAAAATTACTAAGACAAATGCCTGAAAATTTTCAATGTTAAATCCAGAATATGTCCAACATTCTAATGTGGCAATTTAATTTCAACAAAACTAGAACCTAACTGTGTATTGTATTGAAGACTACTTTAGCCTTTAACATTTAGTTTTATTAAGTATTATAATATGTGCAAACCAGGTCATTTTATTTGTAAACTCAAAACACCAACTCATAAAACTTCACATAACTTTAAAATAGACTTAATAAAGAAACTTATTTTCATTCATTTTCAAATGTTTAGATATCCTCTTCTGTGTCATTATTGTACTTTTGTGAAAATGACTTTCCTTAAACTCTTTTTTTTTCATTAGAAAAGACTAAATTCCGTATGTGTTACTCTCCTTGTAATATCCATACTTTCATTAGAAGTTATCCATGTTATGTAAACTATAGGAAGACTGATATGCCAAAAGAGTTGTCCTCATTCACTAGCACTCCAGATTTTCCCATGTGTTTCAAAGAGAAATATCTCTTAAAACTCAGTCCTTGTTTTGAATTTTAAAATAATATTTTTCATTCTTCAATTTATGACCCTGTGGAATTTTAATTTTTTTACAAAATTAATGTGAGTCCATGTGGATCTGTGTTCACTTTTTTACATGCTCCATACCCTAATTTAATCTGTTATTAGTTCCTAAATTAATGCTCTACAAAGAAAAAAATACTCATTGAGTCTTTCATTATGCCTATCTATCTATCTATCTATCCATCCATCCATCCATCCATCCATCCATCCACAACTAAGCATAAAATATTTTCATTTTATTTTATAGGATAGAATCCTGTACTATTATTAAGGACAAAATTAAAATGTTTATTTTAAATATGTTAACTAGTATTTATAAGAATTCACTGAAACCATAAATACTATGTGATTTGAGATTTTTCTAGAGGTTAAAAAATAGTTCTTTACTTGGCTATCTTGATTCAGAATTTCATTGGGCTTAGTATTTGTCATAATTCATAAATGAAGACTTCTCCCAAACTAGGTTTTAGTAATTTGAAAGGAAACTGATTCCTAGGAATGCTATTTTGCAGGGCAGAGCATGAACTCTTTATGGTTCTGGTGTCTGTGAATAGCAAGAAGGAAATGTAAGAGATCTGCAGTTAAAATTACCATCTCTTCCAGGTTCTGATAAAAATAATTCTGTGTATCTAAATGCTTAGTTAAGTTTTTCAATAACATGCTATAATATATATTATAGTTAGAAAATTAGAAGACAATCAATAATAATAGCTACCAATTCAGTAAAAACTTAATATGTACCAGACACTATACAATATGACTTAATTCTCATACTGGGCCTATAAGATAGTTGTTTCTGTCTCCATTTTACAGTGGACAAACAACCACTACAACAGGTAACTCTCTTCAGATCAACACAAGTAAATGGCGGACTCTAGAGCCTGGATTTAAGTCTAAAAGTAGTTGACTGCAAAGTCGAACTAGTAAATCTCACATTAAAGAATTTAGACACATATGGTAAATGCTAAGCATCAAATCTCGGAAATCTGAAATAGTTTTTCTTCCATTTGTAAAATATTAATTATGCATCTGTATGTGATGTAGGTCAAGTTTTGTGTTGTGTTTTAGATAATTTATGGATAAAAACTGTTTCCATTTGATAGACTAATAGTATGAAAATGTACTTTTTACCTTTTGCAGTATAAAAGTCTGTATTTGTGTTGTGGCTACTTATTCAGGAATTCAGTATTTTAAAAATTTATCTAACAAATAAAAACTGGGGCCAGAGTTGTAGCTTAGTGTAGAGCACTTGCCTAGCATGTGTGAGGCACTGGGTATGATCCCCAGCACCACATAAACATAAACAAATAAAATAAAGGGATTGTGTCCATCTACAACTAAAAAATATTTTTAAAAATTGTATATATTTATGAGGCACACTGATATTTGATACATGTGTACAATTCATCATGATTAAATCAGGATAATTTATATATATATCTGTGTATATATATGTATACACACACATATCACCTCAAACATTATTTCTGTGTTGAGAACATTTAAAATCTTTCTTCTAGCTATTTTGAAATATACAATAAATTAACTGGAATTAACTAGAATCACCATACTATGCTATAAAACAGTAGAACTTATTCCACTTAACTGTATTTTTGTATCTGATAACCAACCTCTCTCTGTCCACCCCCCCACCCCCCACCTCTGGCAATCACTATTCTACTCTCTATTTCTGTGTGGTCAACTCATTTAATTTACACACATGAGTGAGAACATGTGGTATTTATCTTTCTGTGCCTGATTTATTCCACTTAAGAGAATGTCCTCCAGGCTCATCTATGCTCCTATAAATGACAGGGCATTATTCATTTTTATTGCTGAATAATATTCCATTGTGTATCTATACTACATTTTCTTTATTCATTCATGGATGGAAACATAGGTTGATTCCATATCTTGTTTTTTGTGAGTAGTGCTATAAGAAATATGAGACTGCAGATGTCTTTTAGACATGCTAATATAGGAATTCAGTATTTGTTTGGCTTTGTACTCTGAGGCTGTGCTGATGTACTATTCTGTGTGTGTGACCTTTGATGATGAGGAGAGGATCACTGTGTAGGGTGTGGCAATGTATGAACCATTTGCCCAACCTGCACAGCTGTCATTTAGAGCATTAGGAGCTGGAGTTTTCTCTTTTCCAGTGGGGCAAGCTTTATTATAGGTATAGTCTTGGATGGAAGAAAGACGAGTGAACACTACTGAGAGGTGAAGAAGGTGCATGGATTACCTATTCTCTCTGAGCCTAGAAAAGCACATAACTGATGCTTTCCTACAGGAGAAAATTCAGTTCAACTTGTCTCTCAGATCTGCTAGCATTTTGCCTCAGTTTCCCAATTACAAAAAGGATGATGCTTCTAGTCTCTCAGGCTTGTGGTAGGATGGAATGAAATGATGTATGTAAACTAGAGTACTGAGCCCAGCACAGAGTCCCCTTGTAAAGACCAGTAAGAAAAGTAGCTTGTTTTGTTATTTTAAGTTGTGTGTGTGTGTGTGTGTGTTTTACATTTCCAGTAAGTGTTTTTTAGGAATCTTTTTCTCCACACTTTACCATTTGGTTCCTTTACTTTTCCCTCTTTCTTTAAAAAGCTTTAAATCGTTTCATCAAATGCAATCTATTTTAGCTTCCTGTTTACTTTTTCATGTAATGTGATTTTCCAGTGAGGCCCTGTCTTCGGTGTCTAAGCTCCTCTGGAAGGTTTTGAATGACTATCTTGATGTTTTCATGTCCCAAATAATAGTATATCAGACTTTCACTGCAATATGGATAAAAATAAAAACACCCAGATTAGATCACATAGCTTTAGCTGAAAGGGCCAGTGTGCTATGACTTTGTAATAAAAATATTCTGCATATATTTATAAAGGTAATGCTTCTTTTTCATTATCTTATGCTCTAAATTATGTTTTTTTCCTTCAATAATTATTGTGGTGGTTTGGATATAAGGTGTCCCACCAAAGTTCCTGTGTTAATGTAGGAATATTCACAGGTGACATGATTAGATTTCAAGACCTGTAATCTAATCAGACCATCCTAGTTTGAATAGGCTAACTGGGTGGTAACTTTATGCAGGTGGGACATGGGTAGAGGCGGTAGGTCACTGGGAGTGTGCCCTGGAAGGATCATTCTTCCCTTCGGCCTCTTCCCTTGCCCTCATACTTCCTGTTCGCCATGACCAGTAGAGCAGCACTTTTTACCATGTTTTTTCACTATGATATTTTCCCTAGGCCCCAAAGCAATACAGTTAGCCCTCTGTGAACTGAACCTCTGAAACCATGAGCCAAAATAAACTTTTCCTCCTCTAAGTTGTTCTTTTCACTATTTTGTCATAGCAATTAAAACTTAACTAACACAATTATAATCTAGAATGCTGGTAATATTTGGCAAATATTGGCAGGCAATCAATAAATATTTGTGTCTTCATCCCTATCACTGATTAAAAGCAAATAATCATTAAATAAAAACTAATGATAGCTAACATTTATAGAATGCTTTATGCTTATTACTTTGCTTAAGAACATACATTGCAAACTCATTTAATCCTTCAAATAATTTTGAGGATGATTGGTGCTCTGCTTTTATTCCATTTTACAAAGGAAGAAACCAAAGTTTATTAAGACGAAGTAAGACACCAAAGTCATATATCCACTGAGCAGGATAACATGTCTATTCATGCTTCTGTGAACTATGGCTTACTAGTTTTTGGTACTGGAGATTGGACCTAGGGGCACTATACTACTGAGATACCCAATTCTTTGATTTATTTATTTATTTTTTAAATTTTGAGACAGCGTCTCTCTTGCTAAGTTGCTGAGGCTGGCCTTGAACTTGTCCTCCTGCTTCAGCCTCTGGAGTAGCTTGAATTAAAGGCTTGTGCCATCATGCCTGGCTTTTGTTTGTTTTTTAAGATGACTGAGAGGAAAAGAATAAAGATAGGGCCTTTCTGGTAGAATACAGTTTCATTTGTGTAGAAATATTAGGAAGAATAGAAATTCAAAGGAGGATTAACTGGGCAAGTTACTTTTCTGTTTGGGTTCTTTATTTCTAAATGAACATAAAGTTCC